TTCATCTCCCTTCCAGAACGTAATATTTTAGTAAAACTTCTAATAAACTATTCTCTAACGGAGAAATTATAAACAAGATTGTAAAATGATTAACGATCTTCTCTACATTTAGAAATTAGTGTTTTTTCAATATAATATTTTATTAATATTAGAAAATATGAAATAACCATTGTTTTCCTTATTTTACTTCGTCTGTCAGTTGCCCTCGACCAATCTCAAAATTAGTACGACACAACCTAATGAAGTTAAAGCGAATCATAATTAAACATAAGAGAAATTGCATTGATTTGTACTTTACACATTGAACCCTTCTTTTTATTCGATTATAGAACAAAGCTAGAAAGTGACTGAAGACAAGACAAAAGTATCAGATCCATGATTTATGTTCTTGTGAAAGTTATATGAAAACATATTGTTCATATGTCTTATAAATGACATTAATTTGTTAACATGTGGACTTAAGTTGCAGTTTTCTGTTTGTTTTAAAAGCCTATAATCTTTAGAAATAAACCAACCGTAATTCTCACTTAAGAATAGAAATTTCTGCAATTCATTCCTCCTGTAATTTTTGACATCCACGATAGCTACAATATAATTCTTACTTTAGCGAAACTCAACCAAAAAAGGAAGAAAAAAGACATGGTAATTGTCTAATTTATTTATTTTGTTCCCAATTTGTTAATATTGTATTCTCTTTTATATTCTGAAGAATAAGATCAACAGTAAAACGCACAAATAACTTTCCATTATTTATGAAGCATGATCTGGCTGCACATTTCATGGAACTGTTTACACAGGAACAATTTTGAATAATTCAATACGCAATTATTAATTAGATCGGTGTTTTGCTGTTTCATAAAAATGTTCAAAGCTGAGCATGAGAAAGAATATGAAAAAAATAAGGTTCAAATCCACATCTATCCTTTTGCGAAGTTTTTGAGATGTCAATCAGAAAATTGATGAAGGTATCAGAAAAGTTGAAAGCCTCAGGAACTCTTTTAAGTGTTAACACAAAATTCGCAAACCTATTTTGATTTCCAATGATTCTATTTTTAGATTGGGTATTTTCGCAAACCCAACTCGGTATTCTATGATACCCTTTTTCAGATTGGGTATTTTCGCAAACCCATCTCGGTATCCTATGATACCCTTTTCCACATTGGGTATTTTCGGAAACCATTTAGGAAATGAAAAGGTATTTTCGCATACTCTTTCGGGTATCAATTCAACTTTACTACTAATATGGGTTTTCGACAACACCTTTCCGATTTTCGAGAAACCTATTGGGTTTCCGAAAGCAAGAAAAAGGTATTCTAGAATACTTTTAGAGTGTTCAATTGAGTATCGTCGGAAACCCTTGGGTTTCTGAACGTTCGGAAACCCAAATGGTATTTTCAGAAACGCTTCAAAACTTCGAAAACCCACTCGGAAACGGAAAAGGGTTTCCGAGTAGGTTTCCGAGCCCCTTTGGGTTTCCTAGGATACGAAAATTTTTTAGAGTGTATTTGATACTTAAACCTTTTTATTAGACTTTACTGAAGCACTTGAATATGGCAACTATACTTCGACTTTTGCTGTACTGATTATGATATACGGTTCTTAAAACACTTATAATTGCTAATAAAGAAGTTACTGAACTATATGCAATTAAATGATGTAAATGTGATAAGATAAGTAATATGGATGCGCGGATAGAAGAAGGCTTTTGAAGAGAAAAAAAAGGAAAATTGGATCTTTTCTAATTAAATATTTTGAAGATGATTCTGGAGAAGACACTCAGGTATATTATCTTATTACTTGGCTTCAACTCCTTAGATTTCTACTAGGACTATACCCTGGGAAATTAAAAATTCAAAAGAAAATGTCATGACTTTTATGTCAAAAACATGAAAAGTATGATATTTTTGTGTCCATGTCACAAAAGTCATGAATTTTTCTTTTTGAGTTTTTGAGTTCGTAAGTATAGTCTGATATTTCTAGCAACAATTGCACATTGACATATACAATACCTCCACTGGATAAATTTTCTATTAGTTCTTGCTTTTTTTTATTGATGATGGTAATTTTTTGGGTGAAACTCAATATTTCTGAAAAGCATGTGCATATATTGTTGATCACTATTAGCACTATCTAATAAATCATTTTGGAAATTGTAAAGAAACGAGTAGATACATTCAAAATAGCTTTTAAATCCAGAAACAGATAAATGTAGAAACCTCGGATTTAAATTCGAGAGTTATGTGTACTTTAAAAAGTGAATGAGACAGATGAGTCATCTTAGAATGTGTGGACATAAAAATTATCCTGCTAAACCTTGTCTATAAACACTTGATTTCTATTGGCAAATACTCAACCAATAGGATTTGTGGGTGAATACAGCTCAGATTTGAACTCTTCACCTTCATCTATCCTAAGAAAGTCGTTTTTCGTATAACTTGATTTCTATTGGTTACTGCTCAACCAATGGTATTTCGAGACCAATGGAACACAGATTCGAGTTTTCCATCCCAGAAAACCTCGAGCTATCATCTCTGCGATTGAAAGATAGAGCTCTAATTGTGAATCAATTAGAGCGTGGACAAAAACGGAACCAATTTCCGTTTAATTATCTTTGCAATAGGTGAGTTAGCTTTCTTGTTTTCTTATGTTCCATATACCATTTTGTAGCTCGTGAAATTCTCTATCGAATGGTATATAATAGTTGGTGTTTTATTTGACTATGATAGGAAAAGTTTTTTACGAAAACAGCGAAGGGTCGATCTTCTCATAGAGCAGCATAGGGAAAAATGACTATTTTTGCAATAACTCAGCAATGGCTCAGTCAATCATTCTCATCTTTGAACTCAGCCGAGATATTGTTGAGACTAAACTGTATAGAAATTTTCATCGCGATTGGACTCTCCTTTCAAAAGTTATCGTGTAAATGGCCGGCCGGCCGGACACTGGCCGATTCTAGAATGTACTCACGTTTTGAGGACACAAAAAATGCAAGCAAAGTTCTTTTAAAAGTAATTATCTAGGGAAAATATTGTATGTCTTTGTTTTTTCGACTCAACTTCATTGTAACATTGTTAATTGCTCAATTAGAGATGAAAGACATGAAAGAAAAAGAGCAATGGATAAATATTTTCACAACACATCCATCGACTTTTAAAGGAAAAGAGAATATAGGAAGAAACCTAAAGAGACGAAAAAGGGAATAATAACAATGAAAGATTATGAATGCGATCGATATTACTCTGAAACTATGTTTGGAGAGGACGAAAAGTTGTGTTTTAAAGGGCATTATTCGTCGAATGATTGTTTATATACATATTCGAGCTTTATTGGAAACACATCAACTAACAATCCTTAACGGGCTATACAAAAAATCAGTAAAGACAAACAATAAGCTAGTCTAAAATTTGAGTAGAGCACTATGTAGACAATAAAGAAAATACATTATTTTTTGAAAGTATAACTTCTTGAAATGAATTGAAGATGGAATTTCTTCAGATTACACCTACATCGTAGTACTAGTTATTGTATTTATATGATGTGCTTTATCTGAAGAAAAACCTTGAAAATAGCATAAAAGTAATGCTCTATAGATGGATCGCTAGAAATTTTGTTAAAATGCTTTAAAAGAACATCTTATAGCTAAGCGATGCATGAAAATAATTTAACAGATTTGTTGTCTGGTGATATCATCTTATCTATAACTTTTTCAATTTGCTGAAGGAATCTTGTTAAGCAAATAAAACTCAGTCAAATTCGTCTGCATTTGTACGTTTTGTTACATGACTATTTCTTACTGTCGTAATACTGACATACATTCTGATGTGCTTTAGTCACAAAATTTATGTCTAAAATTGGCGGATTTCAGCGATTTTTTGCCGAATTTCATCCCGCAAAATGTTTCTCTGAATGGTAGTAGACTCTTACGTCATATAATGGCATTTTTACTCAAAGCACGAATCTAACTATTCTTTAAACTTGTTTGTAAACTTAGTCATTTTCTCTGTGACACGTTCAAACATATTCATTAAAAAGCCACTTTTCAATAAACAATCAAGCTGAAAACTAAATAGTATTCGAGCTTCGCTGTGAATATGAAATGCGGTACGAAGCACCAGTCTCTAGAATTTTTCGGAAAAGCGATATTTCTTTGAAAATGACAATTCGATTGTCTAAAGTACAGCAATCGTTATTACTTTTTGACGAGTCAGCTGATATAAGTCGTGATAAAATTCAAAAGCATTATAATAAAATTCATTACCATGAGAACTCTATATCGATGAAAATAAATGCTCCTGCTTCATAGGACATAAATAAAGAAAACTCGCGATGCAGTTCTGTATAGGTGGTTCGCACCTAACGTGTGATACTAGCACAATATAATTAGTGCATTGGCGACAAATTGGAAAAAGAAATCGATTTTGGTTTTTCTGTAGCATTGGCTATGCCGATGAAATAATATGATAGTTCAAATTGATACATCTGAGAAGCTAAACAATACCTTAGGCAAATGAAAAAATAGCATTTCTGTGATGCACTGAAACTATTCCAATTGGCAAATATTCATGTGTTTCTCAAACTAAGCGAAGAGCATATTCAGTTGTAGAAAAAGATTTTACCAACAGTCAATGTCAGTTTGCTCGGGTACGGGTAGAACACGGTCCATTGTCAGGTAATACCAAACAATGAAGTCCACATCTCAAGAAGCAAACGTTTTCTTTAAAGAGAGCTGTTTTTTTTTTCAAAATATCTGAAAAAACAACATACATCCATCTCTCGAAGATATTATTGCTTTTTGATCTGAACAAAAGTAATGAATGTTTAGAGGTACTCGCCCGAGTAAATCTCTATCGTTTGAAACATCATATTAGATTTACAAGTGTCCTAACTTTAAAATCATTTTCTTCGCATGAAGTTTTGCTAAAGAATGCAATTTACAAACTACACAAGAATACATCTTCTGCTCTTTAGATCGACTATGCCGACACGTTTTTAAAGCAAATATGAGTCATTCAACTGGCTTTAATTCACGTCCGCAATCAGCTACCGTTAACGATTTAAATAATGACACTCGGCTCGATATTATTGTAGCGAATTCTGGCACAGACACTGTTGGTATTTTTTTCGGTTCTGAAGATGGAACTTTTCAACCACAAGTGAGCTATTCAACTGGTTCTGGATCTCAGCCATATTATGTGATAGTAGGCGATTTTAACAATGATAATCGACAAGATATCGTCACTGCCAACCACGGTACCAACAGTATTGGTATACTGGTCGGACACGGCAATGGAAATTTTGCTAGTGTATGCTTCGTTTCACTGGACTCTTCTCGACCAGTGTCGGCTACTGCTGCTGATTTGAACAACGACATGAATCTTGATATAATCGGCGTAAATTATGACACTAGCAGCATAGACATCTTACTTGGATATGGTAACGCATCTTTTTCTTTGCAAACGAAATATTCAACTGGTTACGATTCCCATCCGCATTCTGTCATTGTTGCTGATTTGAACAGAGACAACCACTTGGATATTATTATCTCTAACTCGGGTACTAACAATGCAGCTGTATTTTTAGGATACGGCAACGGATCTTTCTCATTCCCAAAGCTATACTCAACTGGCGTTGGTTCACTTCCATTCACAGTCGTTGTTGGTGATCTGAATGGCGACAATAGACTGGATATTGTAGTCAGTAATTATGGGACCTCCAGCGTAGGTGCATTTCTTGGTTATGGTAATGGATCGTTTGCAAAGATGAAAATATCTTACATTGACTCTGAATTTCGTCCATATGCCATGGTTATTGGAGATTTCAATAAAGATAATATACTAGATGTAGTCGTAGCTAATCCTGCAAGCAGTAATATTGTTGTACTTCATGGATCAGGTAATGGATCATTTACGAGTCAGGAGACATATTCAACTGGTTTTGATTCTACTCCAATCTCTATTGTCGTTGGTGATTTCAACAACGACAATCAATTAGATCTTGCCACGGTCAATAATGGGACAAACAGTGTAGCAGTATTTCTTAGATATGTTGTTAAATCATTTGCAAACCAAACAAGCTATTCACTGGGGGCACAGTCTTTTCCGACATTCATCACTCTTGGTGACTTCAATAATGACAATCAGCTAGATATTGTTGTCGCTATTTCCAATACCAATAGCGTAGGCATACTAATTGGATATATTAATGGAACATTTGCAGCACAAATGACATTTTCCACTGGAAGTTATTCTGATCCTCGATGGATCAATGTAGCAGATTTTAACAACGACAGTCTTTTAGACATTGCTGTTGCGTATCATGGTACAAGTAATTTAGGCATTTTTCTTGGTTATGGCAATGGAAGCTTTGTACTACAAAAGACATTCTCAACTGGCTATAATTCTATGCCTCGTTCATTGGCCACAGGTGACTTTAACAACGACGGTTTGTTCGATATTGTAGTTGCTAATTACCGTACAAATGATATAGGTATCTTTTTTGCATACGGCAACGGAATTTTTGCAGATCAAAAGACAATTTCAACTGGCGACAATTCTAGTCCTATCTCAATCGCTGTAGGTGACTTTAACAACGATGGTTTGTTGGATATTGCTATTGCTAATTACGGCACTGACAATGTAGGCATAATTCTTACATATGAGAATGGAACTTTTGCAGCACAAATCATATGTTCAATTGGAAATGGTTCTGCTCCTCATTTCGTCGCTTTAGAGGACTTTAACAATGATAGTCTTTTAGACATTGCTGTTGCCAACTCTGAGAGTCACGATGTAGCTATAATTTTTGGATGCGGCAATGGAAGCTTTGAGAAAATGACGAAATATTCCATGGGATATGGCTCTTATCCTGTATCACTTGTAGTTGGTGATTTCAATAATGATAATATCTTCGATATCGCCGTGTCGAATTCTGGTGCTAATAATATAGGCATACTTTTTGGACATCGAAATGGAGCATTTGGAATGTTAACAATGTATTCACTAGGCGATGGTTCTCGTCCTATGTCGATCACGACTGGAAATTTTAATCACGATATATGGCTAGATATTGTGATAGCTAATTTCGATGGAAACTGTGTTAGTGTGCTTCTCGGACTTGATAACATAGATACAGCCAATCAAGCAAGCTATTCAACTGGATCTGGACCACATCCTTATTCTGTTGTAGTTAGTGATTTCAACAACGATACTCTGTTGGATCTCATGATCGTTAATTCAGCACATGACAATATTGGTATACGTTTAGGAGATGGACATGATAGTTTTGACGACGAAATTATATATCCTATTGAGATCAATTCACGTCCACAATTTGCCACTGTAGGAGATTTCAACCAAGACCACAAAGTTGATATTGTCATCGCCAATACTCAAAAAGATAGTGTGACTGTGGCTTATGGGAATGGTAATGGAATTTTCACAAGTCAAGAAATACTTTCTACCGGAAACGGCTCCAGTCCAATCTCTCTTGCGGGTGGTGACATTAATAATGATGGTCGACTAGATCTTATCATTTTGAACGAGGGCACCAGCACACTTGGCGTTTTTCTCTCTTTCGACTATGCAACATTTAGAAACTATAGTTCATTCTCAACAGGGACACTTTCTAATCCTTCGTCAATTGCTCTAGGCGATTTTAACAATGATAGTCTACTCGATGTCGCTGTCGCTAATTCTATGACTAATAATGTGGGAATATTTCTTGGATATGGCAATGGAACGCTAGCAGCGCAAAAAATCTATCCCACTGGAATAAGGTCTCAATCCATGTTTGTCATTGTGAGTGACTTCAACAACGACAATATTCTTGACATCGCTGTCGCTAATTATGGTGGTAATAATGTTGGCATCCTTTTGGGTTACGGGAACGGAACGTTTTCAGCGCAAAAAACACTTTTTACTGGTTATAGATCCGCTCCTTCCTGGGTTGCTATAGGCGACTTCAACAAAGACGGTCTTCTCGATATCGCTGTCGCCAATTCCGGCACTAATAATTTAGGCATATTTCTCAGTCATGGTAACGGAAATTTTGCATCTCAAATAACATTCCCAACTGGGTTGAATTCTATGCCTCGCTCATTAGCTACGGGTGACTTTAACGATGACAGTCTTTTAGACATCGTTGTTGCCAACTATTTCGGTGACAACATAGGTATACTTCTTGGACGGAGTAATGGAACTTTTGCAACACAAAAGACACTTTATACTGGTAATCACTCTGCTCCTTTTTCGGTCGCTATAGATGACTTTAATAACGACAGTCTCCTTGATATCGCAGTCGCTAATTCTGGTACTAATAATTTAGGTATATTTCTCGGATATGGTAATGAAAGTTTTGCACCTCAAATGACCTATTCAACTGGAGATAATTCCATCCCATTGAGGCTTACCATCGGTGACTTGAACAATGACAATAGACCAGATATTGTAGTTACTAATTATGGGGCTAACAATGTGGGTATCTTCTTTGGATATGATGATGGGAGTTTTACTCAACAAATGACCGTTGCAACCGGAAATGGTTCCAAACCGAATGCGGTTGCGATTGGAAATCTTAACACTAACAATCGATCGGATATTATAGTGGCGAATTTTCAGAGCAACGATGTTATGATACTTCTTCGAGATAGTAGTCAGGGTTTTCTTAGCATGACAACATATTCAATTGGTACTGATTCTCATCCACAGTCTATGATCATTGCAGACTTCAATAATGACTCTCACCTAGATATTATCGTCGCCAACTATGGCAACGATAATATTGGTATACTATGTGGGTATGGCAATGGAAATTTTATGAAGCCCATAACATACACAACAGGAAATGGTTCTCAACCGTGTTCAATCGCCGTTGGCGATTTCAACAACGACAGTCTATTGGATATTGTCGTTGCTAATGCTGGTACGAATAATCTATGTATATTCGTTGGCTATGGAAATGGAACGTGTTCTACTATAACGCCATATTTAACTGAAGACTCTTCACTTCCGTACTCAGTCGCTGTGAGCGACTTCAACAACGATAATTTCCTTGACATAATTGTTGCTAATTCTGGTTCTAATTATGTAGTCATTCTTTTTGGAGATGGTAGAGGAAATTTTTTAAAGCCGAAGTCCTATTTACTGGGTTACGGCTCTCGTCCATATTCCGTAGCTGTCGGTGATTTCAACAGAGACAATTGGATCGATATTGTAGTTGCGGATTATGGGACTGACAACGTTAAGATTCTTTTACAAACATGTGATAATATCTGACTTATAGATAGTCTTTGCTTTTCTTTGTAAGTTTTGTTTACTTCTCATGCAAACCTGTCTTGTTTTAGATATATATAAGGTCCTTTTCTTTTGTCCACTGCTAATTTTGTGCTAACTAGAAAATCAATCTCATCTAGTCTTGAAGTTGAGACGACACAGACATGGTTGTGATGTATGAGCCAAGCAACTATGACGTGTTTTCGTCTTACTTAAGTCTCCCATCAGACAGTTTTGACTTAATATATGTACAAGTGATCCTTAGATGGCAAACAAGATACAACATTTACACATAGTCTTCATGCTATCCATAGGAAGAGACTGAAGATATCGGTTCCCAACACAGAATCAACACAGTATGATCGGCGTGTCATCCTAATTAAATTAATCAAGAGATGAATTCAGCTTTTATTGATCATGTTTATTACCGATGATCAGAAAACTGCTGTACTAACGTGATCTTTCTGCCACTGGAAAACATTTGGTCTTTTGTAAGTAAATTAAATCATTTTAATTTATTTTGTGGAAATCTATTATATTTTAGAAGAAAATCGTGAGTCTAAATTTAAAGTCAAAATTTTCTGGCTCCTTTCACGTCATTACAGATCTGAACAACTGAGATACAATTATCGATATTGAAACATCTTATTTGTCATTTAATTTAATGCTTATAATAAGAACGTTAAATTAAGAAGAAAAAAAAAAGAATTACGACAATGAAAAATAAAGACTGTATATCAAAAACAAAAACGAAAAATATAGTGTCTGTAAAAAAAAAGTGTAATTTTTCCTTAAACTTTAGTAATAAAAAAGAGACAGCGTTTTTTGACAAATAAATCATTATTGCAAAAGAACTGTCGTCTTTTAAAGATTTTACATTTTTCGTATTTGTTCTTAATGTAACGAAGCTAAAGAAGACATGTGAGTTCCACTTTTTAGCCTCAAAGTAGCTTCTCTAAGAAGTTTTTTTCAGTGTAAATTTTGAAAATTTAAAACTGAAAGTAACTTCAATCGTCGTATGAAAAGGACGATTACAGTCCCTGCCACATTAGAAGACATGGAGTCTTCTATTTTGTCTTATCATTCATAAGTTAAAAGGGGATCTTATATTATGTCCCGAAAATAAGTCAGATTCTTTGACAGTTCCGCCAAGTTATCTTAGTTTCACTTGATTTTTTTAATTCCATATATCGTTAGCAAATAAGTGTGTTTTACTTGTTTCATTTTTGCAGAGTAAAAACAAAAAGAAATAGATGTTATCCCGTGCAAAAATGAAGATCATGGCTCGTAAGAAGTGTTCTTAGAAGCATACAGTCAGCGTAGCCTAGCATTTTGGTATGATATCTGGTAGCGTTATTTTTTTTTTGCAAGGCTAAGACTTATCACTTGCAACATTTTATCTTTTCGATAACTAAATAAGTGTAAAAAGGAAAATTATTTTTTTTATCAAACATCATTTAATTCAGTTGCTTATATCAACATTTGTTTAGTATATATGGAATTCGTTCACAGTGAAGTCTGCTACCAGCGTAGTTATTAATCTCAAGCTAACTTCAATGAATACGATTGTCTTATGCAGAAACTATTTATAGGAAACCAGTAGCTGAATACACATTCTGTGCTTTATTTTGTGTCTATTTGGAAACATGCCTTTCTACCTTATTGAGAAAAGAAATGCGTGCACAAACTCTAACGAAATACTTACATATAAAACCATGACGTATATACATAAAGTTATATTTTCTTTACTTATCGAAAACTGTTTTGTGGTGCAAGCGTTTCTGATTTTCCAGAAGAAAGTCGAAGATGAAGAGGTTTTTGAATTAATACACATCAACATTTTATCTAATTTGTTACTACTGTGCAAAGATCTCTTCATGTGTTATGCGCACGAAAAGGCACCGTGCTCATTAGACCTTATGACCATGGAAACGTATTTTTCGTGCATAGAAACTGAAGAACGTTTTTAGAGTAAGCTGTAAAGGAATACTAAAATGACACCACAAGATTTTTTTTAACAAAGAAACGCAATCTTTAATAGATAGATCTTTTCTATAAACTGCTTCTCAAGATTTCACTCGCTCGAATTTGACACTTCGTTATAAAGATTGAAGTAAAATATTTTTCGTTTCAGATTATTTTCAATTTATTCTTGTTAATTTCAGTTTTTTCGTAATCTAAACTATTTTTTCCTCGACTTCATCGATGAGAATAAAATTTTTAATTAGTTCTATTCATTTCATGTAATTAATTTGTTCATCTATGATACACACTTTTATTTATAGAGAAATTTGAAAAAATCTGAATAAATTTTTACTAAATAACAATTTAACATGTCTATCAACATGTAGAAATTGATCATTGATCGTATAGTTCAATCGACTGAACGCTTAGTAAGTGACACATTGTTTACATAATGGAATGAAACTTTCTTTCCAATGCTTCTATCATTTAGACAAGTTCAGATTCCACTACTGCATAATACTGCAACTCGTCCTGCTACACGTCGTGAATGTCCTTTCCTTTTTTTTTTAGTTCAAATCACTTTTGGATGGGCGACAATTGACTAGTCAGGGCATGAGCTCTGGACTACTACAAATGACTTAGGATTAGTAAGATGTAAGACCTTATTATAAAAAGACTAGACAAGCCATACTGTCACGACTACAAAACAGGTTAGATCTATTACCTCTCCTATGATCGCCTTAGAAGCATACCAACCATTCAGTCCATCATTTTTGTCTTTGAAGAGAAGCTACTGAAATTTATTTATTTGTCGAAGATTTATCAGAACTCATTAATGACGATGATATTTAAACTCTCTCACATTCGACTCTTTCTGCTTTCCTTCTAACTTGATGATTTTATGACATGTTTTTGACTTGATTGTAGATTATAATAAACATATTTTTTCATTATTTCTACGCCATCCAAATACGAAGTCAAACAATCAGTGCATTTCCGACAATGATACTCGGGTACGTCTCTTGTCTTGTTCTTGAGTACCATGAGTTCGAATGAGTTTCTGAGTGACTCATGAGGGAACGTTTTAGCTGCTAAATCGCTTTCCAAATGAAACTATTGCCATACAACCAGTTATGATGAGTAGCGAACAACTCCATCTTAGTTTGGCTGTCTAGTCTCCTCTTGTCGAGCTAATGAAAAATATTTCTAAGAAAATCGCGATTATTTTGATTTGCTAAGGGCGAAGTCTGATTGTTTAGAAGAATTTCCAAAGTTTTTCTAGAAAGTCAGATTACGATTGATTCACATTTACTGTACTCGCAAAAAAGTATCGTCTACACGATGAATACTGTTTCAAAACTCAATTATTTGGGCTCGCGTTTTTCTACCGTATATAGAACTCAGTGAATCCTGATCGTAGATTCTTATCGAATATCGATTGGACGGTATGTCATGAAGTTGTTAGCTCAACACTATCATCTATTTGTGAAGATCTTATCTTCAACAGTTTTTGAAGTTCAGTTGCATATGATCCTTCATTTGAAAGCCCAAAACCTGAGCAGTGTGCGATGAAAGTTTAGTAAAAAAAAAAAATATGTTTTGAATTATTTAAGATGTAATCTTCGTAATGAAAATTTCTTTTAAGTGGATATTGCTAATCAGTAGTTTGATATTGACAAATCGTGACTTAACTTTGATCGATACACTTCAAAACTCCACTTGAGATAATTTAATTGTACACAGAAAAAATATTTCACGTTTCGTAGATCTGAATGTAAAGGACTTTGTTCACAGATCTTTGAAGTATCGAAAATCAAATCACAACTAGAAAATAGAGAAAACATAATTGGTTGATTATAGTTCGCATAGAGCTGAATCAGAGAGGGTTTTATGTACCTATTGTCAACATTAGCTCTTTTTTCAAGGTCAGAAAATGATGCAGTTACTTTAACTTTCACATGACTAAAGAATTGACTTTGAAATAGTATCTTATTTTCAGACGCACAGTTCAAACTTCATGGATAACAATAATATATGACTTCTTTATTCCAATAGTTGCTCTGACTGTCGCAATAGTGGTGATCTTGTCGTTGATACCGGTATATTTGCCAACTAAATCAATCACACCTGCTAAGAGTAATATAATACAGCATTTCAGCTGGCCAAATGATTTCATTTGATATTTATCTCAGTTACACTTAGCTTCTCTGTGGTATACATAACAAGCTTAAAGAATCCGACATCTTTGAAATTGGCAAATACAAATGAACTGGTTGAACAGGTATGCGACCGTTTTTCATTTGCACTGAACTACTGTTTGCGAATATTCAGCTTGGCAAAGCATACGGCCTTCAAGGAAAGATAAAGCCAACTATTACATATGCTTTCATTCCGGTGAATACTCTATTAAGTAACGGCAGAAGGCGACGGTCATTAAAAGCTTTTTACTTTTTATTCATAAGTATTTTATGTACTTTTATTTTATTATAGAGATATTGATTGGCAACAGTGTAGAGACATGGTATCCCAGGAAGATGTTCTTCTTGGGGTTGACTTTTTAGCTGCATTCGACACAGCATATGAAGCGGCATTGAAGCCATGTCCAGATGGGAGCAGCCTTCCGCAGTCCAGTTCCTGTCCTGGACCACTGAGCGTTACACTGACATTTGAAAATGGCTTGGTTTTAACCATCGACTTAACAGTCTGTTCATGGACAGTAGTAAGATCAGGTAATTCTCATATTTAGCTCAGGGCATCTATTATTCAAAATCTAAGACAAATATGTAGTTTTGATGAAGTGTCCGAAAAACAACACGAAGTTTCGACGATAATTTTTGTGAAAATTTTGACTCAGTTAATTTATTTGGTTAAAATTGAGCAGATTTTATTGTTATAATTTGTCCTTCTAACATAAAGAGAATTAACTTACTACTTCAGATATCAGTATAGAAATTTGAAGGAATCCTGACGTTAGATGCCATGAAATAAACTTACATATTTGAAATCTCTCAGAAATTAAAATTCTTTCTGCTGATCAT